AGAGACCTGCCGTACGAGCTAGGGCTCGTACACAAAAGATGAGCTAGGGTTCGTACACAAAAGATGAGCTAGGGATCGTATACAAAAGATGAACTAGGGCTCGTACACAAAAGATGAGCTAGGGTTCGTACACAAAAGATGAGCTAGGGATCGTATACAAAAGATGAACTAGGGCTCGTACACAAAAGATGAGCTAGGGTTCGTTCACAAAAGATAAGTTAGAACTCGTACACAAAAGATGAGCTAGGGCTCGTACACAATACATGAGCTTGGGCTCGTACACAAAATATGAGCTAGGCTCGTACGCAAAAGATTAGTTAGGGCTCGTACACAATAGATTAGCTTGTGCTCGCACACAAAAGATGAGCTATGGCTCGTTCACAACAGATAAGTTAGGTCTCATACAATAACGGTTAGTTAGGTCTCGTACAATAACGGTTAGTTAGGTCTCGTACAATAACGGTTAGTTAGGTCTCGTACAATAACGGTTAGTTAGGTCTCGTACAATAACGGTTAGTTAGGTCTCGTACAATAACGGTTAGTCAGGGCTCGTAAACAAAAGATGATTTAGGGCTCATACACAAAAGAATAGTCAGGGTTCGTACACATAATGTCCGAGATAAACCAATACTGCATACTCAATTTTGCGCTTCCTTGGTAAATTATATACTTTACTAGACATAGCCCGCCAAACATTGGCGATAGCAATGCATGAACTTCCCATCTATAAGTGTTACTTGACAAAACATGAACTCAAGTAACGCATATTTAAGAATTCCAATTTTTGCTACACCCCTTCCCCCATGATACTTCATTGCAAACATTTTATTTCCCACCAATAAACTATATATTTCCCACCAATAAACTATATATTTCCCACCAATAAACTATATATTTCCCCACCAATAAACTACATATTTCCCACCAATAAACTATATATTTCCCACCAATAAACTATCTATTTCCCACCAATAAACTATATATTTAAGAATGAGCGATGCTGACGTAACGCCAAAGAACCATAAATATTTAGATATGTTCGGATTCTAAAACACATTTAAAGTTATTTTCAATTTTTTTTACGGAAATCGAATAAATTTAATGCGCCAAAAAGTATATATCCCTTTCATTTTAGTAAAAGTTTAAGTATTATTATTACAAATTACAAATACATTTAAAGTATCATATATGGAACTATTTTTTAAAAATTTTCTGAATCTAAAAGATATGAACACAACTATAAATTAAAAAAAAATGTTGATCTCAGAATTTGATTGTAATCAAATTTATCGGGGAAACCCAAACATCTGTTATTTTTTTGCACGTTTTCTTAGTGCGTTGTTAGTATTGCGAAATAAATAAGCAAATGACGTCATAGAGTGTATTGTCTATTTTAGTCATAGCTCTAAGTTTCTTTGATTTAATAACCGCGCATAACAAAACTGATAATGTGTTTTCCCCTTCTTAAAAGTAAAATTAATAAATATAATTGATTGCTTTTAAATAAGTAACATTTGCTAAAATTAAATACAACATAAGTTTTGTATTTTTAACCCACTCACCCCCACACAAGCACTTAACCGACACACCCACTCACACTCACACACGCACCTAACCGACACACCCACTCACCCCACACACGCACTTAACCGACACACCCACTCGACCCAACACACGAACCTAACAAACACACCCACTCACCCCACACACGCACTTATCCGACACACCCATTCACCCCAACACACGCATTTAACATACACAACCCCTCACCTCACACAGCACTTAACCGACACACCCACTGACCCCTCACACGCATGTAACCGACTCACCCACTGACCACACACATGCATTTAACCGACACACACTGACCCCACGCATGCATTTAACCAACACATCCACTCACCCCCACACATGCACTTAACAAACACACGCACTCACCCCCACACACGCATTTAACCGACACAGCTACTCACCCCACACACACACTTAACCGACACACTCAGTCACCCCCACACATTCAATTATACGACACACCCCCTCACCCAACACACGCACTTAACCGACTAACCTACTCACCCCAACACACGCACTTAACCGACACACCCACTCACCCCACACATGAACTTAACCGACACACCCACTCACCCCAACACACGCATTTAACGACACACCCACTCACCCCCATGTCAACTCCTACTGTCTTCTTGGATTGATTACATTCGTCAGTTCTTTCATACGTTGAAGCGTCGTACTATTCTAACTATCAATTAACAAACTCAACTCCTTTTCATAATAACTATAACTTTAATATCTAAGTAAATATAATAAACATCCTATCACTTCAGGGTTCCACTCAAGACTGCCGCACGGCTAAAACATACGTCACAACACTGCATAGACAATACGTCACGACTCAGCATAAAAATACGTCATAAATACAATGGCGGGAAGAGCGTTCACTAACTATAATAGTCAAGCGCGGGAAAAGCGTTCAACAACTAATGAACATAATATTGAGTCGCAACAATTCCTAATGAACGCTCACACTCGACACCCCACACACGCACTTAACCGACACACCCCCTGACCCAATACACGAACCTAACAAACACACCCTGTCACCCCCACACACGCACTCAACCGACACACCCACCCACCACACGCACGCATTGAACCTAAACACCTACTCACCCCACACACACACTTAACCGACACACCCACTCACCCCCACACATAAACTTAACCGACACACCCCCTCACCCCACACACACACACTTAACCGACACACCCACAAACCCACACACACACTTAACCGACACACGCACTTACCCCACACGCACTTAACCGACACACCCACTCACCCCACACACGAACTTAGCCGACACACCCACTTACCCCACACACGCATTTAACAGACACACCCACTCTCCCCACACACGTATTTAACCGACACACTCACTCACCCCACACACGCATTTAACCGACACACCCACTCACCCCACATATGCATTTAACCGACAAACAAACTTAACTCACACACCCACTTTAGCTCATCTCCATATTCTACAACCTCCCACATCCACTGACCATCCATATCCACAAATATCCCACATCCACTGACAAACCACAACATATAATTTAACTCCTCTGACATAAAAATGGCAGACATGTATGGTAGTTGCCCTGGTTTCTGTAATGTCATCATATATGTCTGTAGCTAAGGGCGCTGGCCCATTCGATGCCCTGGTCGCTACAATCCACTGGCCTTGTTCTCAAGGCCCTTACACGTCACCTCGAAAATTGGGACTCAAGGCGGTTCACGTGGTACAGGGACGTGTTGATAAACACGGTACCAAGTCCCAAAAAACAAGAGACCCCCCACACTATGCCTTCCCTATGCAGGTAGGGCACACAATGGGCATCACGGACTAAAGGCATTCTGTCGCATGCATAATCACACAAACATTACACTAAAATAATTATTTTGATTTAGAATACAGAAAATGCTACAAAATAAGATACAGAATTATAATACCGGTTAAACGTATTGCCTTGAAACTATTCGAGAGGGAATGAATCGTACAGCAAATGAGAATCGCTTTTGGATAATTTCCTTCTGTTTGTGTAAAATGTTTTAACGTTTACAAAGCTTTACTCTTAGATGCTGGGTGCCCGAGTGGTCTAAGCTGAGCCGATCACAAGTTCATGGTCTGTAGTTCCATCCCCACCAAAGCCAAGTCAAACAAAAACTTCACCAGCACGGGATGTGACTCGTTAACCTTTGATGGCAACTCAGCCCATAGGGGGCTAACATTGAAACGAATGAAACTTTCTGACAACTCCTGCGACGCCACTGATCCCTTCGCTGAGAGCGCTGTGAGCATGCCCTTCATACCATCATGTCCTTAACCCTAGAATGCGTACCATCATGTCCTCTGACCCTAGCCTTCATAACATCATGTCCCCTATCCCTAGCCTTCATACCATTGATATCTCCTGAACTTACCCTTCATACGATCATGTACCCTGACCCTAGCCTTAATGCCATCATGGATTTGCCATTCTATTTATATCAACATGCTCGTGCATCCATATTTTGCAGTGATCTCCCAAAGACCCTCTCTACTCACCCACACACAATTTATAAACGTTGTGGTATTGCTGAGAATATAGTCTGGGGAAACTTTTCCTCACTAAAACAATACGCTGGCGTCGCCCATAGACTCACCTTTCTAACATGTATGCGAACAGTTTGTGTGTGTTTGTTTTTTTTTGTGTCAATGGCGCAACCTCCTTAATTTCTGTCCAGATTTGATCAAATCTTTTTTGGGGGGAAAGAGGAGCGCGTTTGTTTTGTGTTGTTTTTTTTAAAATAAAAACCTGACGTCTGCAAAGGGAGACATATTTTATTTTTTAGATCGGTTTCCCATTTCTTTCTTCCCCCATCCGATGTTCCATTTAAGCTGCGCGGCCGCGCAGCCATCTCACAGACGCCGCGCATCAGTTTTGAGTATCCGCGCAGCAAATTTCCATTTAAGTTTGTGTTTGTGGGCTGTAAAATTTTGCCCACAAAAAAAATTGATGCAGTAAAACTTTGCGCACAACTGTATGATTTTGCGCACGAACCAGCAAACCTTAGAGGGGAACATTGCCCCCATTCCGCTTTTTTTTCAAACAGTTATGTTTTTTAATGAATGAAATATAAACCAGTCAACTATACATTTCTTTTAACCCCCCTCCCCCCACTTGATACCCGAGTTACACCATAGTACTCTTTACATCTCCGTTAAGTGGGACATGCAGCTGTGAAAGCACTTCAGCAGAACATCTGATGAAAGTTAGTCCCACAAATCCAAGAATGCGGGGGTCAATGTTTGCTCCAGATTTCCTTAGTGATATTTATTAAACACTTTGAAAGCGATATTTATTATTCAGTTAAAAAAAAAAAAAATTATTCTGGATGCCAGGCTATAAAAGGAAGGAAAAGAAAAGATTTAAATGTAAAGAAAAAAGTGAAATGTATTAAATTTAAATTGTAAAATAATAGATTTAGCTTCTGGATCATGTATCACCATTACATAATGGCTTATAATGTATCATTTATGTATAAAATAAACGTTAATTTTCATAGATATTTTGATCGTCCACTTCGTCTTCTGGGAGAATAAGAGCGTCGTCCATTTTAAATCCTGATGATGCAGGGCTGACTTGTTTGTAGGCTCCATCATGTGAGCTCTTCAACAGTTGCGTGTAGGACATCGGACTGTTACTACTTTCATTCTTTGTCTTGCGCTTGACCGTAAGCTGATTTGAAATATTGACAGCTTTTGGGTTGTCTCCAAAGATGTTCTCTGCAGGGTTAGAATATATGTCCTGATCACCTTCACAGACGTCGATATTTTCTAAGGAAGAAAATATGAGAGAATATTTACGTCTTTAATTATTTACTGGTGTTTTTTTTTTGTGTTTTTTCGTTTGTTTTTTTTTTTTTGGAAAGTTTAATTACAGCTAAATTTCGTCGATATTTTCTAAGGAAGAAAATATGAGAGAATATTTACGTCTTTAATTATTTACTGGTGTTTTTTTTTTGTGTTTTTTCGTTTGTTTTTTTTTTTTGAGAAAGTTCAATGACAGCTAAATTACATGTATATTATGTTCAGTTAAAAGACCCAGTAGCAATCAGAAGAAACAAATGAAGACCTTTATATAGATATAGAATGCGTTGAGTGGATTTGACATATTATTTTTTGGCCAGTCTGACAGATTTGGACCTTTCAGCATGTTTGCAATGTATAGGCTGATAGCATGGAGCTACGCGGCACACAGATAAACAACAACGACGGTAATAGCAAGCCCTTATTGTCTTTTGATATCTGCTTTATTATCACTCGCATCCGTTTTCATGTTATTGCTCGAAGTAAACGCACGTGTCCAGTTTTTTTAAAATTATTTAATCATCCACTTCAGGGCGCAAACCATATCATCATAGCGTGAACGTGAATGAAATAGTGTACTGAGATAGTGTACTGAGATAGTGTACTGAGATAGTGTACTGAGATAGTGTACTGAGATAGTGTACTGAGATAGTGTACTGAGATAGTGTACTGAGATAGTGTACTGAGATAGTGTACTGAGATAGTGTACTGAGATAGTGTACTGAGATAGTGTACTGAGATAGTGTACTGAGATAGTGTACTGAGATAGTGTACTGAGATACCTGTCGATGCTAGGTAGTCATGGTTGTCATGGGCTTCACCATTGTAGCTGCAGTAATCCTCAACTGGGTTGTTGGCTTTTCTCGTCTCGTGCGACTGTGACGTTTTTCTACGAGATATCGTCACGGTCAACACAAGAGCGAGAATTATGACGAGCAGGAAGCCGGCAACGCCACCTACGGCGTAAATGTAGACAACCGGAACTGACGTGGAATCTGGTTAGAAGAAGTTAAGGAATTTTTTTTTTTTTTATTCTTACAAACTGACATGAAATATTTATCCTTTCAAGCACATGTATTTGTCTAAATCAATAGCGTAACCTTACCATACATCTGCAGACCAAACATTGAGTAAGCGAGGAGACTACTTGCCTGTAGACTACACCTTGAGTGAGAGAGGAGACTACTTGCCTGAAGACTACACATTGAGTGAGAGAGGAGACTACTTGCCTGAAGACTACACATTGAGTGAGAGAGGAGACTACTTGCCTGTAGACTACACATTGAGTGAGAGAGGAGACTACTTGCCTGTAGACTACACATTGAGTGAGAGAGGAGACTACTTGCCTGAAGACTACACCTTGAGTGAGAGAGGAGACTACTTGCCTGTAGACTACACATTGAGTGAGAGAGGAGACTACTTGCCTGAAGACTACACATTGAGTGAGAGAGGAGACTACTTGCCTGTAGACTACACATTGAGTGAGAGAGGAGACTACTTGCCTGTAGACTACACCTTGAGTGAGAGAGGAGACTACTTGCCTGTAGACTACACCTTGAGTGAGAGAGGAGACTACTTGCCTGTAGACTACACATTGAGTGAGAGAGGAGACTACTTGCCTGTTTTCACACCCGTCACTAAATTGGCCAGGCAGCCAGTAGTCTCGTTTTCGGCAGGAACATTGAGCGGTAAGTCCCATTTCGCGCTGAGATACTTCAAGGAGCAGTTTAGGCCGTACCATCCTTGCTCACAGGCGGGCTCTGTGTGTGGGAAATAAATCCAATTTCTAGAATTGCAACTTATCGATACATTTTAATGAGCCAAAAATGTATCAATAACACTTAGTTATGATTTATGTATGGTTTAAAACCTCAACACAGTTCAGTAGCGCAATTTTGTTGTTTTTTTAATTCACGCTCAAAATTCCTTCACCATTGCGTCTTTTGATAAGTCCTACACACAACCTAATCCAAGAGTCCTACATATAACCTAATCCAGGAGTCCTACACATAACCTAATCCAGGAGTCCTACATATAACCTAATCCAGGAGTCCTACACACAACCTAATACATGAGTCCTACACATAATCTAATCCAGGAGTCCTAAACATAACCTAATCCAGGTGTCCTACACATAACCTAATCCATGAGTCCTACAGATAACCTAATCCGTGAGTCCTACACATAACCTAATCCAGGTGTCCTACACATAATCTAATCCAGGAGTCCTACACATAAACTATTCCAGGAGTCCTACACATAATCTAATCCATGAGTCCTACATATAACCTAATCCATGAGTCCTACACATAATCTAATCCAGGAGTCCTAAACATAACCTAATCCAGGAGTCCTACACATAACCTAATCCAGTTAAAATGGTTTCGACAAGAGGAAATTGGGATAAAACCCCAAACTATTTTATTTTCACGTTGTTGTATTAAATAAGATGGGAATTCGTGTGGAAAGAACAAATGACTTTTGCCTGGCTGAAATCTAGGGTTCTTATTGATGAACAAGTCACTCATTTTTTCTTAACCCTCGGTAAAAATATTTTTCTGTGGACTAGTGGAGAACAACTAATAACATTTACTAGCTGACTGGACGCACTTTTAACCGACATTTTCTATAAAATCAAGGGTGTGACCTATTCAATCGGTATCAATTTTACTTACTTCCCTTCGGTGTGAAATGGTCATTTATTTTAAAAAAGGAGCGAATTGTGTCATTGTTGGTCGTTGTTTGTTTTCCCAACCTTGCTGTCGCTCACACTCGAGCAGTCATCAATCCCTTTTGGTTTACTTTTTTTCGTTTGTTGTAAATTATATGTTAAAGAGGATGTAGATAATGACGTAGTTCAGGCCGATTTTATTCCGGTTTTCACGTTAAAATGGAAGAAAAATTTATGATTGCCGTTTAAAAATATTAGTTATAATTACGTTAAAAAGAACCAAGCAATTTTTCGGGGCACGGTCTATCTTCGGGTGAATGACAAACAATGGGTTCCAGATTTCCAACGGTGTGACCTTTACCCTAGTACAGGGGTCGGCAAATCGCGGCTCGCGAGCCTTATGCGGCTCTTTTAGTGACATGAGTGCGGCTCGGCCAGTCGGCCACAACTCGGTTTTTGACTCCGAAAGACATGGTTCTTGACAGGTTGTTGAAAAGAAATGTGGCTCTCTCAAAAAATGTGTAATCGTCCTGCTGCTGACTTTTTTTTCTCTTTTGACTAATCAGTTTGCCGACGACTGCACTAGTGCACATGGTGTTAAGTTGATGTCAAGCATTATCACCTCATTTATTCATACAGATTTGTGACAAACTAAGCCCTGAAACATAAGCGTTAGGGGGGTCTCCCTACCTCCGTATACCTCCACCTCACACAGCTCTAGGAATCCGTCGTAACCTTTGCCCACTCCTGTGATTTCAACTTTCGACACGGGGGCAGTTGACGCGGACACCACGGTGTAAACGTACTTGGCCACTCCTGACTGATCTCGGTACTCGAAGACTTGACCATCGTCCTGGGAAAAGCTTTTTAGGATGAATCCTGTCAACCGACTGCTCGGCCATTCTTTTGGCGTCCCTGCGTCTTACAAAGGTTAAAGATAAACATGTAAGGCGACGCAACGGTAGATTTACCCGGCGCTTGTTAAAGTTTAAAATATATAAACAGACAAAATGATAGATTTAATTATGTAATTGCTTACTGACCATGTGATTAGCGCCGTATCAAAAAAAAAAAAAGGCGCGGGTAGCCCTGACAGTATTCTATACATGCTGCAGGGTGTCATTGCAACTTAATGATTCCAATGAGGTTTCAAAGTTGTGTAAGTAAAAAAACAAAACAAAAAAACCCGTAGATTGACAGAGTGACTTTCAACAATTGACCCACTTAGGAAGAGTGGTTAAACAACGTCTATTGTTCGAGTATTCTATACATGCTGCAGGGTGTCATTGCAACTTAATGATCTTCACCGATTTACTTAGTGGTTTCAAATTTTGAAATAGCAACCCATTGTAACAACAGAAAGGTTTATACACACATAGTGTTTTTTTTAGAAGGCGGAAAGAAAGTAAGAGAAAAGGACAGAGAGAGAGAAAGAGAGAGAGAGAGAGAGAGAGAGTAATAGAGAGAAAGTGGAAACACATAGGAAGAAAGAGAGTGAGAGAAAGTAATAGAGCGAAAAAGATAGAGGAATAGAGAGAGAGAGACAGAAAAAAAAAGTTAAGGGGGAGAGAACGAAATCGAGAAGGGAGAGAAAGTGATATAAGTGAACAAGAGTGAGAGAAAGACAGTGAGAAATAATGAGAAAGAAAGAGTCAATACATTTCAATGATCAGTTAATTACCCCTTTTCCTATTGTAGATCACATATCTGTTAACCCGAGACGGCCTCGCAAGCGTCACTTGCCAGCGAGGGCTGCCAGGTACGTCAGTGTGAGCGCAGCTTCCCTGGCTCAGATCATTGTCTCTGTTACCATCAACAGCGAGCAGTGCAGCGTGTGCAATGTTGTGCTCCTTCCATACACCGGACTGAGTTGCATTTTGCTTCAGGGCAACATTCTGTCCTGTTGGGCACAACAATGTCCAGTTATCAAACAACGTGTTGAGAAATCATTTTTTTTCCCTCTAATACAAATTAGTTTTCTACATTATTTAAGATCCAATGTACGTTTTGGAAAACTAAATCACACTATTGCATTTTTATGCAAACGCCCTATGTGTAACCGGAAACAGAGCAGTCTGAGCAGACGACACGAGCGATGGGTAAACTTTTGCCCCGCGGGTGGCATGGAATTAATGGTGTTTTTTTGCCTGGTAGGCCACATGATAATTTGAAAGTAAAATATAATGTTTGTTTCAAAATTAAAAACAAAATGACAGTGGAAGAAAATAAATAATTAATTAATTAATGAAAAGGAGATGAAAACAAACAAATAATTGAATGACAGTGAGATGAAAAGCTTATGATATCCCTGAACTTGTTGATTCGGCCAGATTTCCCCCGAGAATTCTGGATAGCCTATATTTTAATATACATTATTGAAAATGAGTCTCCACTGACTAATCATTCCGTGTACTGTTCGAAAATAAGCAATTTATTAATTGTTTAATTCCCTGTCATTATTATTATGACATGTTGACAATTTTGCACTGCAATTATTGATTTTTATGGATTCTAATTAGAAATCATTAGAAAATGTGTGTTTTTTAGAAAACGAATAATACAGCTCCCAGATTGTCTAGCAAAATGAATGTCTCGGTGGACGGAATGTTGCCCAATGCCCTACACCCCATGATATCTTTATATCCTTATCTTGGCTCTGTTGCCCACTGCCCTACACCCCACGATATCTTTATATCCTTATCTTGGCTCTGTTGCCCACTGCCCTACACCCCACGATCTCTTTATATCCTTATCTTGGCTCTGTTGCCCACTGCCCTACACCCCACGATCTCTTTATATCCTTATCTTGGCTCTGTTGCCCACTGCCCTACACCCCACGATCTCTTTATATCCTTATCTTGGCTCTCCCTCCCCCCCACAATCTCTTTATATCCTTATCTTGGCTCTGTTGCCCACTGCCCTACACCCCACGATCTCTTTATATCCTTATCTTGGCTCTGCGCTTATCCCAATATCCCAATACGTCACCGACAAAAAAAAAAAAAATAAATCAGGACATCATTTTTTTTAATCCGTATTCGTTTATAGCCGTTTAATCAACCTCTGTTGGCAGAAATCAACCTCTGTTGGCAGTAATCAACCTCTGTTGGCAGAAATCAACCTCTGTTGGCAGAAATCAACCTCTGTTGGCAGTAATCACAAAATCTTTAGTCAAATAAAAACCCGTATCAATTAGGAAGACTTGCAACCATATATTCCCCCTTCCAGACCGCTGGTGTCAACACTACAAACACCATACTTCTCGAAAATCAATATACTCCTCGCGTTGATCGAATCAAGGAGCCTCCCCAGCTATATAGCCCTCTCCTTACTCTGTCCTCTCACCCTGCCCCCCCCCTGTCCCCTCACGCTGTCACCTCAACCTGCCCCTCACCCAATCACCTCACCCTTTCCACTTATCCTGTCCCCCTAACCCTATTCCCTCACCCAGTCTACTCACCCTGTCCTATCACCCTGTCCCCTCACTCTATTCCCTCACCCAGTCTACTCACCCTGTCCTATCACCCTGTCCCCTCACCCTGTCCCCTCACCTTATCCCAATAACTCTGTCCCCCATCCTATCTCCTCACCCTTTCCACTCCCTCTGTCCACTCACCCTGTCCAAGTACATTTCCACATGTGCTGTCCCCATAACTCTGTCCCCTCACCCTGTCTACTAACCCTATTCCCTCACCCTGTCTACTCACCTTGTCCAATTACCTTGTGAACGTGCCCTGTTCCCTCACCCTGACCCCTCAGCCTATCCCTTCACCCTTTTCACTTACAACTGTCCCCTAACCCTATTCCTTACACTGTCTACCTACCCTGTCCTTTTACCCTGTCCTCTAACCCTGTTACCTCACCCTATTCCCTCACCCTATTCCCTCACCCTGTCTACTCACTCTGTCCCTTTCCCTATTCCCTCACCCTTTTCACTTACCCTGTCCCCTAACCCTATTCCCTTACACTGTCTACCTACCCTGTCCTATTACCCTGTCCTCTCACCCAATTCCCTCACCCTATTCCCTCACCCTGTCTACTCACCCTGTCCCCTTCCCTATTCCCTTACCCATTCCACTCACCCTTTCCACTTACCCTGTCCCCTAACCCTATTCCCTTACACTGTCTAACTACCCTGTCCTCTCACCCTGATGCCTCACCCTATTCCCTCACCCTGTCTACTCACCCTGTTCCCTAGCCCTATTCCCTCACCCTGGCCCCTCACTCTGTGCCTCCTGTCTACTCACCCTGTCCCCTAGCCCTATTCCCTCACCCTGGCCCCTCACTCTTTGCCTCCTGTCCCCTCATCCTGTCCCCTAGCCCTATTCCCTCACCTTGGCCCCTCACTCTGTGCCTCCTGTCTACTCACCCAGTCCCCTCACCATATCCCCTCCTGTCCACTTACCCTATCCCATCACCATGTTCCCTCACCCTGTCATCTCAACCCTCACCATTAATTATAAATGTTCCTTTCCTGGTCTTCAAAGCTGCCAACCTATTAATCACTTGAGCAAAATCAATATCCTTCACCTTATCACTTCTCAAGTGATATTAGTGCCAGATCAGACATCCTTGACTGTCCCCATGGTTGATCGTAAATAGTTTTTGATGAGACTTTATTTTGAAAATCACTGATCAAATGAAGCCACGGACACACAGATCGTAAGAAGCAATTGAAAGCTTAGCGAGAATATTTGAAGATATTCTGAAGTCACATTCAGCCATGAATTTCAAAACATTAAATACTGACCAGTCCATGACTTTGTGAAATTCAATATTTATTTATTTATTTATTTAGGCATTTTTATATAGCGCTTTTCATAAAGCTCTAAGCGCTTTACAATTATTAAAACATGTAAACTAAGTAAATACAAATGAGACACTAGGATAGTAACTACTATTCTATAGAAACAATGAAAATGGCTATAAAACGAGGACACTTTGACACTTCAGGATCAACCCGAAACAGAAAATGAGGTAGGGCAAGGAGGGTGCATCACAGGTCATAGGCGGACCTAAACAGATGAGTTTTAAGGGACTTTTTGAAAATGGACGAGGTTTCACTATGACGTATATGGAAGGGGAGCTGGTTCCAGAACGTGGGCCCATGGAAGCAGAAGGAGCGTTCACCGATGGTCTTAGTTTTAGTTCTTGGGATTGAGAGGGTTCTACTGTCAATGGAAGAACGTAGTTGTCTTGTGGGGATGTAAGGAAGCAACAGTTCAGAGAGATAGACAGGAAAGTGAGGGTCAGTGAACGAGTTGAAGCAAAGATTGGCAGACTTGTATTTGATGCGAGAGGATATTGGAAGCCAGTGGAGTTGCCGCATGTGTGGTTGAATGTGGTCATGTTTCTTTAATTTAAAAATGAGTCTGCATGCTGAGTTCTGTGCCTTCTGAAGTTTTTCTATGTGGTGTTGAGGAATGCCTGAGAGAAGAATGTTACAGTAGTCAAATTTTGAAAGAATGAGTGAAGAGACGAGAGTTTTTGTGGCATCAAAGGAGAGGAGGTGTCTAATGGTGCTGATTTTTCTAATTTCGTTATATGCTGATCTGCATATATTCGTGACATGTTTGTCCATGGAGAGGGTGTCCGTAAGCGTGACTCCAAGGTTTCTGGCAGAGGGAGAGAGTGTGATGTCAGAGTTGCCAATAGATATAGAAGAAGGAGCGAATGGAGGGAGAGGTTTGTTTTGAGAGTGGATGAGAAGGATTTCCGTTTTATCATCATTTAGCTTCAGTTTGTTGCAAGTCATCCAACGCTTTACATCGTCCACGCACTCCTGTATGCGAAGGATTGTGGCATCAAGTTGATCAGGAAAGCAAGAGTCACTGATTTGAGTGTCATCAGCAAAGGATTGACTGGAAACTGAGTGGTGGCTAATGAGAGATGATAGAGGTTTAGTGTAGAGGATGAAAAGGACCGGCCCAAGGACCGATCCTTGAGGAACTCCAATAGACAGGGCTGAAGGTTTGGAAGAGCGGTTGGAAATAGAGACTTTTTGAGTTCTGTCAGAAAGATATGATTGAAACCAGTTTAAAGCTGAGCCAGTAAGTCCGAAAGAAAGATGAAGGCGGTCAAGAAGAATCTGGTGGTCAATGGTATCAAATGCAGCAGAGAGATCTAACAGAGTGAGAATAGAGAGTTTGCCATCGTCCATCGCGCGCAGGAGGTCACTCATGACTCGGACCAGTGCTGTTTCTGTGCTATGACCAAGTCGGTAGGCGGACTGAGAGGAAGGATAGAGATTGCGAGAATGAAGATAGCCAGAGAGCTGAGAGAGTATGAGTTTTTCTATGATTTTTGAGAGAAAGGAGAGGTTGCTGACGGGGCGGTAATTCTTGAGTGTGTTTGGATCAAGTGAGGGTTTCTTTAGGAGGGGCAGGACAATCGACCGTTTAAAAATGGGAGGGAATATGCCAGAGAGAATCGAAGAATTTATGATGGAGGTGAGTGCTGGGAGGAGGACGTCAAGGCATTCTACAAGCAGTGGGACGGGGATAGGATCGAGGGCACAAGACTTGGGAGCAGACCTGATGATGACTCGCCTCACCTCATCCTCAGTCACAGGCAGAATATCAGCTGCCTTAAGTGTCTTCTAAGCCTTTGTATTTCTTTTAAAAGTTCATCTACTGATAATTCAACGAAGAAAAAGATTAATTTTGGAAAAAAATCATCAATGACCATTTTCACTTGCTGGTAGTAGACCTTTGGGTTGAACAGCCCCAAACATATCTGCTACTTCCTCCATCAAAGATAATCTGATCTGGGGTTCATAATGAAAGCTAATCGTATACTCCAGCATCTTCATCCTGTGTTCTTCTGGCAGTGAGAGTCTAGCATCTATTAATTATTCTCCTGCCACTCTCTTCTTAAACCTTAATCTAATCTCTACCGACATTCCATTATTCTCTTATTTTAAAAGTGCTTGTACAATAGCATGTTCCACCACGTGAAAATCTTGAGGCCTCTAGGTTGGTCTTCACTTAGTCAAGAATAAAGCCTTAGGCTACAGATACTGATGTGTAAGATACATTTCCTCAATTAGATCAGCCCAAAGGTAAAGGTAGCAGATAAACGAGAACTCACATACAACATGTCAAAGACCTTGTGCTGTATGACAACATGTCAAAGACCTTGTGCTGTAGGACAACATGTCAAAGACCTTGTGCTGTAGGACAACATGTCAAAGACCTTGTGCTGTAGGACAACATGTCAAAGACCTTGTGCTGTAGGACAACATGTCAAAGACCTTGTGCTGTAGGACAACATGTCAAAGACCTTGTGCTGTAGGACAACATGTCAAAGACCTTGTGCTGTAGGACAACATGTCAAAGACCTGGTGCTGTAGGACAACATGTCAAAGACCTTGTGCTGTAGGACAACATGTCAAAGACCTGGTGCTGTAGGACAACATGTCAAAGACCTTGTGCTGTAGGACAACATGTCAAAGACCTTGTGCTGTAGGACAACATGTCAAAGACCTTGTGCTGTAGGACAACATGTCAAAGACCTTGTGCTGTAGGACAACATGTCAAAGACCTGGTGCTGTAGGACAACATGTCAAAGACCTGGTGCTGTATGACAATCGTGCTCTAATGTTAAGGGGCGACGCTGGTGGCGAATCGACGACAATATTTATTTTTTGAGCATTTCTTGATTTTGATATATGTTGATTTTAAACATTTTTTTTTTACATCTAAATAACAGAGATGAGACACTTTGGTAAAATATCATTTTGTTAACCCTATCAATGAGTAAAGTGTCATTTTGTAATGTGTGTAATTTTCACCGATTCGATTCTTGTACTGAGAATCGCCCAAACCACATCGTATTTGGCATCAATGAAAAGCTTTATTTCTCAGAGGTTTGATAAATATAGCTTCTTCCTGTCCCTTACGAAAGTTACCGAACACTTCAATCGGCGCTGAAACATGGTCAAAACGGTGTTTATCTGACCTAATTATGGGGTCACCCCATTTATGAGGTAGCAAGCTTGAACTTTTAAGAAAGCACGCAGTTGGATTGGTTGCGTGTGTGGGGGAAAATTGGCAAATGATTGGTTATCCTTTTATGAAATTCAGTTAGACCTAGAAATTATTTCTCCATAAATATGCAATTTTTTTTACTTTGATGTCCCCCCGGAGATGGTGTCACCCGGTCCGCACCCCCGAACCCCCCTAGCTACGTCACTGCCATTAACATAAAAAAAAATAGTACCGACCTCCGCTGACGTAAAAAGAACAGACATCCATTGCTTCTCCCTTGGCTCCTGCAATGTGGATTTCTTGCACGGTAACATTAAGGTCACAGAATATGTCCGCAGTTCTAGAGTTGACCCGATTGTTACGCTGGTCGGTACAGTTCACTGTGCTGTTCTTACTGTCCTTAAACGTCACGTGGTAACCTGGCATCACAACTAGATGGGAAAAAAACGTTTTAAAATAAAGTTATAACTGTGGATTAAGTGAATTTTTTCGAATCACAATCTGTCCATTGTGGTCATTTTTCAAAGTCTCCCGTTAGACAAGTGCATTTCTCACCTGTGTACAACTATCACCTGTCTATGTTACCGACCCCAGTGTGTGTCCGCTCTTCCAATATACCCGACCTTTCTAATGTAGCAAAGTGCCTACATCACCAACCTGCCTACATCAACAACCTGCCCACATCGCCAAACTGCCTATATCACAAACCTACCGACATCACCAACCTGCCAATATCACCAACCTTCCCACATCGACAACCTTCTTGCATCACCACCTGACTATATACCTCACTCGTCTAATCTCCCATCATCGTCCTACGATAAGGTACATCACCCACATGTCCCAATCACCCACCTGCCCCAATCACCCACCTGCCCCAATCAACCACCTGCCCCAATCACCCACCTGCCCCAATCACCCACCTGCCCCAATCACCCAACGGTCAAATACATCACCCACCATCGTCCTACGACAACTTAAATCACCCACATGTCCCAATCACTCACCCGCCACAATCACCCAACGGCCCAATACATAACACACCCACACTCCCACCTGCCCCAATCAACCACCTGCCCCAATCACCCACCTGCCCCAATCACCCACCTGCCCCAATCACCCAACGGTCAAATACATCACCCACCATCGTCCTACGATAAGTTAAATCACCCACATGTCCCAATCACTCACCTGCCCCAATCACCCAACGGTCAAATACATAACCCACCTGCCCCAGTCACCCAAAGATCACTTACATCACCCACCTGCCACAATCATCCAACGATCAAGTACATCACTCACCTGCCCCAATCACTCAACGATCAGGTAATCACTCACCTGCATATAGTCCTGTAATCCTCAGCCATGTGAATGGGTATGACGTATTCCATACAAGTTCCAATGATGTGATGTTTGTCAGGCAGGTACGATCACTCCCGTCTGTTACGATATCCAATTTGGTGGGCGGAGTTGTCCTTACTTGGCCCACTCTGACTAGGTCCTCTGAGATTTTAGCGAATTTTGTCATGATTGGAGTCAGTTTTGACAGTCTCACATTTGTTATACATTTAACAGTGGAATCCTATCTCTGGATTATGTAGCCATGACTAATTAAATGTGTATGGTACATGTTGCAACATCCCCAGGCAATACAGCAAGCAGTTTTAAGTGTAGACCATGCATTTCTAATGAAATCTGTTCATATCATATGTCTGAAAGCCTATACATCATTATTTTCCAGTGTATTAAATAATCCTTAATGTAATAAAATAAAAAAATCAAACATACAACTTACTATACCGACACACACACCATAAAAATTGCTATTTTGTCGCAAATAATCGACCAAGCAGCCAACTAAATTAGAATGTACAACCAACTATATTTTCCACAAAAAAGCTTCTATACATCGAAACAATATTGCTGCATAAAACTTACAATAAAAACACATACAAACGTCTACGCTGACATGTAAAATCCTGCCGTACTGTCACACAAGAGACCTGCCGTACTGTCACACAAGAGACCTGCCGTACTGTCACACAAGAGACCTGCCGTACTGTCACACAAGAGACCTGGCGTACTGTCACACAAGAGACCTGCCGTACTGTCACACAAGAGACCTGCCGTGCTGTCACACAAGAGACATGCCGTACTGTCACACAAGAGACCTGCCGTACTGTCACACAAGAGACCTGCCGTACTGTCACACAAGAGACCTGCCGTACTGTCACACAAGAGACCTGCCGTGCAGTCACACAAGAGACATGCCGTACTGTCACAAAAGAGACCTGCCGTACTGTCACACAAGAGACCTACCGTACTGTCACACAAGAGACCTACCGTACTGTCACACACGAGACCTGCCGTGCAGTCACACACGAGACCTGCCGTACTGTCACACAAGAGACCTGCCGTACTGTCACACAAGAGACCTGCCGTACTGTCACACAAGAGACCTACCGTATTGACAAGCGGGACCAAACCACATTTGTTCACACTGATCTCCATCCGGGCATTCCCCATCCGTGGTACAAAGATGGTTGGTGCAGCGGCACTTGTACTGGCAACTTGATCCAAACCATCCAGGTTTGCAAGCTTTCAATATTGAAAATACAACAATTAGGTTGTTTACCCCCAGCCATTATTGTCTTGATCATGCAGGTTAAGCTCTGCGGTTGACTTCATGCTTTTTTCTCCTCTTGTGTTGTTTTTTTTTTTGTTGTTTTTTTTTTGTTTTTCTTTTTTTTTTATTGTTGTACTTGCATAGGAAGGCATTCTGCCGAAACGTTCATTTAATTGTTCATTACACATCCTCAATAATTACAACCAACCACAGTCTTTTGAACTCCTTGTATGTATGGCGCACTTTTAAAATAACGAAAGCTTTAACAAAACAGTCTACGGCATAACTTGATGCAATCTTCAAAATAGTTTCAGATAAATAAATAGAATTCATTCTTACCTGATGCCAGCACAAAGGTTTGGGTCATGGTTAGAAACCATGTGATCAAGACGTCTTTTCGCATACTGGTACCGTACAGATTTTCACACGTAATTTTCGTGTTGATAACTATCTTTTTATTGAGACCGATTTAAAAATAAAATTACTTTATTTTTTTTTTTTTTTTTTTTTTTTTTATATGACTCAAAAATTAAGAAAATCCACTAATTCTTTGGCAGCTGTCTTATAAACACATTTAATTCTGCGCCAATCGTACTCTGATTTTAGCCGCGGTTAAAAAAACCGAGAGAATCCATACATAATTTTTGTTTTGATCATCTTTTTTGGAAAAATTTATGAGAGCTGAATGACGCCAACGTGCTACTTCAGACCCGTTAGAGCAGGAACTTATGACGTGAGGGGGTTGGGGTGGGGGGAGGGGGTTGGGGTGGGGGGGAGGGGGTGGGGTGGTAGTCTGCACGAAACAGAAGGCGGAATTCATTTAATCAATGGCTCTAAATTTATTCTATGAGGAGACACCCAACCAAATCTTAGCTCTTGGCGCTTTTCATCCAATGAAGTACTGACCCTCTAAGACAGTGATATTAATTTGTGTTTCTGCGGTACATTATATTTACATGTATTTTTATATGTATATATAGCTGCATAAATTTAAATAAGAGCGAGCGGTGCCGCGAAAGCGATAAATTATTTTGATTAGGGTAGAAGAAAAAAACGTTTGAAAAGCGCTGCTCTGGGATACGCGTCACATCAGGATGTTAAAAAGATATCTAACAATACAGACGTACTAGACCTCACACTTTGCCACTGCGCCGGAAGCTGCACAAGTACTTTCCCAAAATCTCACTCGGGCACTGTTTTCATGTTCATTTGTTGGCCGTTATAAACGCGTCTAAGCTCTTCCAACGTTTCTCAACCCTTGGTTAACCCAAGGTCCATCTTAGACATTTTGATTAGCTTTGCGGCTCCGCTCCCTGATAATAATCTTAAAATATTTTGCTCTTTTTTTTATATATAAAATCTTTCATTATTCCTGCCACCTATCCCAAACAAAGTGTTACGAAGTCCTTGGGAGTATATGGCCCAAGTTGAGAACCGCCTATCAATGACGTCTTTTTGTTGCACACTAATATTTTAATTATAATTTTCTGCTAAATCTTTCCAACTGCATCTGTTAAATAAGAGTTAGAATCGTATTCCAACCTTGAGTATAAAAATTTTGGACTAGTTAATCAACTTATTACAATCAGCCCCCCCCCCCTTTTTTTTTCCCCCTGGACCAATCATACCTACAACTAACATTTTCAACAATTCAAATTCTCTTTGGGGACAGTCTCTGGGTAGTTCGGTTAGAATGTTGGTGAACTTCAAGAAAAGGTGGGGGGGGGGG